CTATTTTTAACAAGATTTCACTTTCAAACTGCTATCTGGACAGATATGCGCCAAAAAGTGTGCTTCGAAGGCAGCTGAGAAACCTTTGGTATTTGCCAGAAACAGATATTGAATTGGCTTTCCTGGACGAATGTATCACTTGTAAACTTTATGTATCACTTCCAGGTTATTTAAAGAAACCGGAAAGAAAGACAGAATTGAAAAGATTACAGAGTAGGGAGGAACCTCGTGTTTCAAAGAAAACACCTCAGTCAATCCATCACCTGACATACAAAGATATTCCTTGAACTGTCCGAGGAGATGGAGGAAGGATAGATGATGTAATGGAATACTGTAGTTATATACTGATGCCGTCACAATGGTTGGTTGGTTGATTTTACTTAGCAGCATATCACCCTCTAAGGGTTTATTTCATGCCGAAATCTAAATATTTTGTACATAATTTTATATTTTCAGGGTAAAATGTATCTTTTTTTTTTTTTTTAAATATATAGTTTCTAGACCATAAAATATTATTCTGGTAATTTCACTACAAAAATGTATTGGTGGACAAGGGGAAGTAGTTAAAAATCACTTCATGCATTGTAATCAAATCATCTTCCCACAATCATTTTTCTTAACAAATGAAAATGTCTTAAAACCCAGGAAGAACATTATCATCTTGGAGAGCCACTTCCTTGTAACAATAAAATAAATACATACAATGTTTGGCATATACATCAAATCGACTTTATTTCATATTTTTAAAAATTATTTTCTCAGGAGTAGATAAGTTTGCCTATTGTCCAGTTCACACACATGTTTAAACAAAAAAATAAAAAACAAGAGTAGAGGTTTATCTCTTGTTTCCTGTTTAAGATTGGGTTTCCAATTTCTCCTAAAGTTTACTTCTACTGTATAATTCTAATGTCTCCGCCTAAAACTGAACTTTTATTTACTATTGAATTACTTTTTTCTCAATTGAAGTAGATAGGTTCACCAATCGTCTGGTTGACACATCTCTCCATTTTTTTTTTTTTTTTAAAACAGGAGTAGAGCTTTATCCCTTGACTCCTGTTTAGGATTGAGTTTCTGGTTCCTTCTAAAGTCTACTTCAGCTCTATACTCCTAACACATATTCTTTCCTACACTAATATAACTTCACAGAGTAACCCTCTACCTTGAGCGTCTCCTGGGCCTTGTACTGGGTAAATATTTGTAAAACAAAAATTCAAAGTATTAAAAAAAAAAAAAAAGTTTTAGATAATTGAGTAGTAAAGATTTTCTGAAAAACAGAAGCAGCCACTGGTCAGTAAATATATAAACAAAACTATCATTTAATTCTGAATAATTGTAAACAAAAGAAAAAAAAATGTATACCCAACATTAATATCAGGACAAAAATTAATAGTCAATTAATAATCAATTAAAAGTCAATTGTATCCCCTTTTTAAGTGAAAATATTTCCGAAACTTTTCAGTAATCTTTTACTAAATTAAGCCCAAATATTTACAGAGATATTTTAACGCTTAATGTCTCAACAAATGAGAATGTCTCAACATCCAGAAAGAACATTGTGATCTTGGAGAGCTACTTTCATGTTAATATTTTAAAACAATATTTACAGGGATATTTTATGTGCATAATCTTTAAGTTGCTGCTCTTACTCTTAGTTTTCTTGCTCTTACGTCTTTTCAAGTGGATTCAAGTTGGAACTCTGAAGGCCAAGATAAAACATTTGTATCCTTATTCTGGACAAATTCAGAAGTATGTGTGGGATCATTGCCATGAATAAATATTTTACCACATTTCAGTTTCAGATCTCTAACAGACACTTTCAATTTGACATCAAATATTTACAAATAATCCTCTTCCCCACCCTCATTATGTCATTAACTCTTACCAAGCTACCGGTTTCTTTTGTAGAGAAACACACAAAGCATGACGTGCCCACTTATGTTTAGATTTATTGTAGCAATGATATTTTTTGGATTGGAGGGTGGGGGCAATAAACCTTGATATCTCCAAATAAAATTCCCTTCACACTCAAACTGTTTTAGTTTTCTCTCAGATGAACACAATATATTATCCTGGAATGAGATTGGTTTATCAATATGTTCATTTACGAATCGTCACCTGAAATTAAAACGGTTTTACCTGTACTTCTTGTAGTTTTGAGATATTTGACTTCAAAGTTTGGCTAACCATAACTTTTTCATAAATTGACAGAAAAAAAATGTCTTTACATACTCTCAGGATTAAATGATTTTAGAACAAGCAAGGTGGGAAGCCACTAGCAATGGGTTACAGAAGATTTGGAGCAAGATCAGATAGGAGTGATAGAGGAAAGGATGAGGAGAAGGATAGTGGATAGATCAAGGAAACTGGAGATGTCAATTGACATTACATTTGAATAGTTGGAGATTACAGCTCTCAGGGAAACTGGAATAAGGAAGGGAGTTCCACAGTCGAGAGGTGCGAGATATGAAGCTATTGGAGTAGAAGAGACGGCTACATTTAAAAGTTTTGACAGTGAAAGGGTGAGAGCAGTATGCCAGCCTCATAGGGCGCTTGAATTCATGAAGTCTGGGAACCAGCGAATGCAGCTCCTTGGAGCAATTACCATGAAAGTATTTGTAAAAAAGACAGAGAGAGGTGACGGCACGTCAGTGAGAGAGCGACTGTAGACGAGATGCCAGAACATGGCCAATTATATTGCATATCCACCTCTGGATCTTATCAAGAACCCCGAGGCAAACAGAAGGGGTTCCAGACCATATATGGCAGCAATACTCCATGCAAGGGTGAATTGTTGATCTGAACTTATTTTCCACCCTGCAGTCTCTTTCTCCACAGATACAAATATTACAAACCTATTGCTATTTCCATGGCAAATTTTCAGACAAGCACCATTCTTTAATGTTAACAACTCAGATCTTTTCTTATAGAATGTGAAAGCAGAGCTGGGATGGAAAATAATTGGTCAGAAGACCTCATAAGCATGACAGTGATGGATTACCTTTGTCTAAGAAACCAAAACGGCATGAAAAGAGCAGTCACCCCCCCACGTCCAGATTCCGAGCTGGCACATGGTGAAATGCAAAGCCAAAGAGTTGGCATGTGTTCCAGCTACCTCCTATTCAGAAGCAACTTGATCTTATAGAGAAATCTCTGTCAGTCCAGCCTAACAGAGAGTAAAGCATGACCAAGAACTGTGCATATTCCATACTTTGCAGTTGTGGCAAGGAATATAACAGCAAAACCATCTTAATTCTAAGAATAATGTTGAAGGAGCATGAAAACACAGTAATTAGGGGTGAGACAATGAAATCAGGCAAGGGTGATTTTCTTTGTCACAGGAAGGCAAAACAGGTCAAAATAGGAGCTTTTCTATATATTTGATTGAAAGTCAATGTTATAAAGGTAAATTGAGGCTTAAGAAGCATTAAGCATCCTAATGATTATATTCATACTTAACTGCTAGCCAGAAAGTTTCCAGGTATGACACTTTTGTAATTATAGGAAAAAAAAACCAAAAAAAAAAACCAATTCTTTTTGTAAGGAAATCTCATATGCATGAGAGTGTGATTTTGTGTAAATCCAATTATACAGCATTAAATACACTTTGGTGTAAAAAAACAAACTATCATTCCATTAGTTCTGAAAAATGTTTATTTTATGAATCAAATTTGAAGACTTCTTTTTCAATATTATTCACACAGTCATTATTTAATGCCATCTTTCGTAAAACATTTCATTTGCAATAAATATTCAGTAAAATTGCCAAAATAATGAAAACAGTAAAATTTGAAACAAATTGTTTAGCAAGGAAGATAAATTCTTTTTATTGTATTTCAAATACTGTAAAAAAAAAAAAAAAAAATTACATGAGAGGTTGCTTGAACAGAAATGTTGCTATGGATAGAAAATGGTTTGTTAACTGATAACAGTGCTATTAAAGTGAGAGACTTGACTGTCAAACATGGCTGATTGTTTTTGGACAACAATGAAAGACTATGCTTTTCATGAAATTGTATCCGATGAAATGCGTAGGATGCAGACAGTCTCTTCTTGCCAAACAATATCAAAATTACAAACTTGCAGCTGATCTCTCCTCTCACCTAGTTCTAAAAGCTAAAATTGAATGGGGGGGGGGCTTGTAACTTTTAATACTGCTAAAACTGCTATTATCATTTCAATATCCCCAATCACATCCTGAGCTTTCTTCAATCATCATGAACAGTGAAATGCTGAAAAATGGTTAGCTCATTCTATTGCTTCAGGATGGACCAAACTCCTCTTGCCATGCTTTATCTTTACAAGAGTCAAATTATGTCAACAATGGTGTATTACTGCCATATCTGGGGTGATGTTAGCCAATTCTCATTTCTCAGACTTGATAGAGTTCAAAACTGTTTATGTAGTTTTGTAGGCAAAGACTTAGTTTCTGAAGCCCCCACCCCTCAGAAACAACATCACAAGCCTATCACTTATTCAGATGAGCCACATCCTTTAGTTGCAACTGTTCAGACCATTACAGTTCGAACACACCATACTACTTCCAAAACTGTTACTTTGTTGAACAGACTCCCACTTGGATGCTTCGCTGAAAACTACAATCTTACACTATTCAAGTCAAAGGTTAATTGTTATCTATACTCTTTATCCACACTTCCCCTTCCATTCATATTACACACCTCATTTATCATAATCCTTTTATCAGTAACCCTCTACCTTGAGTGGATCACGAGCCTTGTACTAGGCAAACTTTATGTTATCAAAAAAGAAGAAAGTCAACTCCTACTCTAAGCAGTAGGTATGGATTCACTCACTTGCAAAATCCACATCAGTAAGCCTGTTCCAGTGACACTGCACCTATAATTTCAGTCAGCAATGTATGTCAAAATATGTGAAGTATAAGAAAAATACAAGTGATTGGGGGGGGGGAGATAGAAACGTGTGGGACAGTGAAGCTTCAAGTAAACTTAAGATGGCCAAGAAGGAGGATATAGCTTCCTCATTCACTTAAAAAAAAATTCTTTGCTTTTGGCTACAAGGTCAGCAAGTGGAAGGAAGGAAGGATGCTGTGTGGGGAGTTGGGAAAGAATGGTTGCAGGGAGAATAAGAATCTGTAAAAGAGAACAGAGGAAGTTGTGTAATGGAGGTGGGGGAGGAAACGAAACAAAATTAAGAGATGAGTAAAAAGTTTTGGGAGAGGAGGAGGAGTGCATTAAGTGAGTAACAGTAAAATGAGAGAGTAAAATGAGAGAGTAAAATGAGAGAGTAAAATGAGAGAGTAAAATGAGAGAGTAAAATGAGAGAGTAAAATGAGAGAGTAAAATGAGAGAGTAAAATGAGAGAGTAAAATGAGAGAGTAAAATGAGAGAGTAAAATGAGAGAGTAAAATGAGAGAGTAAAATGAGAGAGTAAAATGAGAGAGAGACAGAGTAAAATGAGAGAGAGACAGAGTAAAATGAGAGAGAGACAGAGTAAAATGAGAGAGAGACAGAGTAAAACGAGAGAGAGATTAGAAGAGAAAAAGCTGGCAGCAAGAGAAGTGCACAGTGTGTGTGCGCGTGTGAGATAGAGAGGCATGTGAGAAGCATGCACATCCAATGAGAAATTAAAGGACAGAATATTAAAGAGAGCAAACAGGACCCCCCAATTCAATAAAAATCAAAAAATAGCACATACTAAAGAAAATATTGTAGACACCGAGGAAAAAAAAAAAAAAAAAAAAAAAAAAAAAGAGAGAAAGAGAGAGAGAGATAACACACCCAATCTTGACACTGTAAATTTGCTGTAACAAATGGCACAGGTTTTCACAAACCTATGTCCTATTGTCAAGGGCTCTCAAAGCATGATTCAGCCTAACTCCTACAGGGGAGTTGCTGAGAAGGTTAGCTCTCTAATAATAGTTGTCTTATAACAAACACTAGTTGCAGCCGTCAAATTTAGAAAATTTGAGTAATTTCAAATGTTACTTCAATATGAGGGTTACTCTGAAAGCAAAGCCTCCTATTATGTTGGTCCACAATGTCAGAGGCTGATTTTGCTGATATAACTGGAGAAATTGAACATTTCCACTAATAACCCATAATTTCTTTTTAACTTGTTACACCTGAGCAGCAATCTGGCAAAATGATGCCTGACATAAACATGCAGATGAAACAAAGATGTATAACTGAATTTCTTCACATGAAAAAAAATTTAATCTCTCAAGACTTATCCACATTTATAGTAAACAAACAATGCACATGAGTTAGGCAGTGGATAGTTGAACCGTATCAGAAGCCACTCAAGGCAGAGGGTTACAGGCATGGCGGCTTATGTGGATGTGTGTGGAAGATAATGGTTAACTCTAGACTTAAACAGGTTAAAGACTGTAGTGATTGGGGAAGCATCCTCGTGGGAGCAGATTCTACAAGGCAGTGGTTTGTATCTCAATTTATATAAACAATCACTTTAAGCATAGTAACAGACTAGCAGTATAACCAGTCTTCGACTGGGTGTTTCATTACTGGGAATTTTTACCGTTCAATTGGAGCAGTTTAAGTTTAAAGTCAGCGCACCCGAAAATCAATATTAGTAACAACATTTGGGTGCAACTGGGGCACCTCCCCAAATGGGTGAGGGTGGGGGCAATTTGAAGGCGGGGATGAGAAAAGGGCATTTTTTGCATTCTCAATTTTGCAAGGAAAGAATCTCTTCCATGGATCAACATAATATACGATAATTTTTATTTATAATATATTTTTTTTTATAATTCTAATAATCTCTTTCATTAGATTTTAACTCTCTAAATTGATTATACACTTTTTTTTTTTTTACAGACATTAAATTTTGCTTTTGATTTTTGCTCAAATTGTAAAAAACCAGTTTTTTCGATTTTTCACCTTCAAGGTTGTAATTTTTTCCAGCCAATTTGAACTCAAAACAGGCACTGAAGAATTATCTATCAAACAAAAAAAAATAATAATTCATTGACATCGGATGAAAACTCTGAAAACACAGAAACAACATCTGTTCACACACACACACACACATTTTGAGAATTATAGATATATAGATACATATGACACTATGGTTAAAAAAAAGAAAATAGCTATTAAAGTAAACATGATTCACATAAAAGACAGTCTGGTGGTGGTGCTAAAAAGGAAGAAAGTCAATAAGGAAATTTTTTTCCCCCCTCCCCTTCTACCTAAATTTATGAAGAAGAATTTTACATTTAAATGATTTTGTAGAAGCAACATGAATCTAGAATAAAATTCCAGATCCTTGCTTGATCATTCTTCACAAATGTACTATTTAAGCAAAGTAAATCCCATGTTTCCTTTTATGAGCTGAAGTCTGAATAGTAAATACTAGTTTAATGCAAAATATAACTTACTTCAACTGAGTAAACGAGCAGTTAAGACAATTAAACCAAAAGAACCAATATCGTGGTTAGCAGGCCTCGTATTAGCCACCCATCTCCCAAGTCACAAATAATACAGAGCAAGATTCAAAACTGAAACAAATGTCAAGATAATAATAATAAGAAGAAAGTAAATATTATACTTACCGCACTTTAGACAGAGTTTATGCCATTTCTTACTGAGTGCTCTCACCTCTTCGGCAAAATAGACAGGTTTATTGCATCGAGGACACAACTGGGACATGATACTTACTGGGGAAAAGAAAGAAAGAAAAATAAGTAAATAAATAAAACAATTAACACTTTTTATTCTAAACAACAGGTGAAAAAATAAATAATTAAAATAAAAAAAATAATCGGTATTAATAAACATGAGAAAACTTTACATAAAGTAAAGGCAATAATTTGTTGCATTTGATTTGTATAAGAATCAAAGACAATTTGTGTCCCTTCAGGATGTGTGCAATCATGGATCTTCACAGTTTCCTGTCTTTTTTAGTAAATTCTTTTTGTTATATCTCCTAAACCCCGTTCTGACAGCCTTTTACACAAACTCAGTAGGTAGGTTATGTGCAATTTATTTCTCTGTCCCTCTTACCTTCAATATGTCCTGTGAGTATCAAATTTTCCAAGCTCTCTTTTTTCATTATTTGTCTTAGAAATTTCAACTGTCCCTTTTTGATGTTAAATGTGTCTTTTTCGTTTCCATTTTCTCTGCAACTTTGCCTTTGCTCACATGTTCAATCCATGGTGTCCAAAGAATCCTTCTGCAGAAACACCTTTCTGTTGCTTCAAGTCTCTCCATCTGTGTGTTAATGAGAAGGGTCAACCTAGATTTACTAGATTTGTCCCACTGTTTAGACTATTCGGATCATAGACTTGTCTGTACCCGGATGGTATTAAGCAGTAAGCATAAAATGGCTGGACACTGGAAGTTCAATGTGTCCTTACTGGACAGGTGGGACTTCCAGCAACAGCTGATTAGACTAGTACAGCAGGAATTAGTGGGGGCAGTTATTGGGAATAGGTGGTGGAAGAGAATTAAGGATAGGATTAGGTCCTTCACCACTGAATATAGCCAACAATTCTAGATAAGGCTAAAAAGGTGGAGACTCTAGAGGATAGTCTTCCTGAACAGTGGCGGAGGGGGATTCCCTAGAGATAGCCATATCTAGGCAGGCCCTGCAGCGCATGACTAGCAAGTGTTACCAGGGTCAGATAAGTAGACATAGGTTAAACAAAAAGTCTAACAAAGCCATGAACATTGGGTGCAGAATTGCTCAAGGAAGAGATCTGTTGAGGTTCCGATTGATACATTTGTGAGGTCATTACCCTGGAGGAGCACACTCTGAAGTCAACCAAGGGCATGTGCAAGGCATTTCGACAGCATTTCAAGAGCCGTTTTATTAAGGGTCCTGGTCTCAGTGGCAATGAGTTTCACAGCTATTTGGCTGACTTTCCTTGGTTTTCACTGACTGAAGTAGCTAGCTGTGAGGTTGAGATCACAGAGGGCGAAGTTTACTTGGCATTGAAGAAGGTCAGCAGAGGCAAGTCTCCAGGACTTAATATTCGACCCCACAAAATGTACTTGAGGTTGTCGCACATCTTTGTCCCAATCTTGACAGTAGTGTTCAACTGGTTCTGGCAGGGGTCCGCCCCAAACCGGATTTCCAGATCATGCTGTTGAAAAAGGGCAAGGGTGTTGAGCAGGATTTAGATGATTACAGACCCATTGCGAAACACAGAGTTAAAGATTTTGGCCAAGATCCTGACAAAATGCTTGCAGTCAGTTATCGCAGGCTTGATGGGACCCGAGCAGACTTGTGCTGTGAGGGGACAAACAATTCAAAGCAACCTACATCTGATCTGCACAACCATAGATAGTGTAAAAGATGACAAGCAAGCTGTGCTGATCAATTTGGATCAGTCCAAGGCATTTGGCAGGGTTGACCATCAGTACCTGGCTGCTGTCCTGCAGACCACCGGATTTGAACCAGACTTCTGCAAGTGGATTAACCTCCTGTATCACTCCCCCAGTACTGTGGTACAGGTGAATGGGAAGCAGTCGAGTGCTTTTGCGCTGTCTTGGTCAATCCGACAGGATTGTCCACTGTTGCCCTTACTTTGTGCTTTGGTGTTGGAGCCCCTCTTCTCAGCCAGCTGAAGGATAGGGCATTCAGTCTGGCCCTATGCAGAATCACTATTTTCCCTGATAGAACTCGAGCCAGGGTTTCTGCATACACCGAGGACGTATCCATTTTTGTGTTGTGCAGTCACAACATTAAGGTGGTACAGAAGGCGCTTGAACAGTACAAGGTGACAGGGGCCAAGATTAACTGTAACAAGTCTCTCGGTTTGTGGTTAGGTGCCTAGAAGGGGTTGTGCTTCTGGGGCCCTTTAGTTGGACAGATGGATCTGTCTACATTCTTGGAGTGTGGTTTGGGCCCAGACTCCAGCTGAAGAATTGGTCAGAAGTACAGGCAAAGGTCGAAACGTCAGTCTGGACTTGGCTCTGAAGAAGGTTGTCCTTAAAGGGTAGGGTTGAAGTTTACATTTTGCCCCTCATCCATTACTGCCTAGTTGTACTTCCTCTTTGCAGGACCTGTATGGAGGCAATTGAGCGTTTGTTGATCATCCTCTTGTAGGGTGGTCGCAAACATTGGGTCCATTAAGAAGCCTGTTACCAGTGTCTGTGTCATAGGTGAGTCATCGGCATGCATCAAGGTCTGCTTTCCTATGCTGTGTTTTGATGGAGGGCTCGACTTTGGTACAGTATTTGGGATGCCATGCCTAACCTGACCATCACTCCTCTCATTCCTTGGGGTAAGCACCGTCGCAGTCGTGGAAGGTTGTGAAGTATTCTCAGCGAGTATCAGTCGGTCTTGAAGGTCCTCGGATTCTATTATATTGTGAATTAGTGGAAGGGATCACAAAGGATCCTGTGTGTGGCCGGCTAGGTTTGTCAGAGTCAGAGTTGCTCTCCTTTTGGTCTTGGGTGCCAGCAGCGGATTAGCAACTCTGTTTTTTTGCTTAGCTGGTGATCGATTTGGAACATGCTGCCTCTCAATGATAACCTTCAGATGGAGCGAGGTAGATTTGCCAGACTGTCATCAGTGTGACCTTTGCTTAGAAGAAATGGCTTTGCATGCCTTCTACCATTGTCCTCAGGTGTGCCCCTTCTAGGTT